GGAGATAATAGACAAGAGACACCTGCATAATCTAGGTGCCAAAGCGTAAGATTGCCTATCTGCTTCTCCCTTACACACACACACAATTCCACCCCTTTTCACTTTTCTCTGTCGTGAAACACATCTATGCTTCTGGGCTCTAGAAAAATAAATGAGCAAAAACAAGGGGAAGAGGTCACTTTTTTCCAGAATCAGTGACGTTCCTCTAGGACTGAGTGTGAGTAGCTGAGGCATCCTCAATTACAGGTAGAGAGTCCTCATCAATGAGTTCACTCTCTCTGCTTGGTTTTATGCTCAATTTTGGCTCTTTTGATGGAGTATCCATGTAGCTTGGTTGAGATTTTAAAATTCCAGCAGCTCCAAAACACTGAGAATTGTAAAGGCAGAGGGCTCCTAAGACAATAATAACTATACTGATGATTCTGGTAGTGACAATCTCTAATTTTCAAAGAGCTTAACAGGGTCTAGGCACTAAAGTGTGGGCTACCCATGTAAATTTTTATTATCACCCTAAACACATTGTCTGAACTGGCTTCATGGACATGCAACTTATACAGTTGCAAGGGCCCTACACTCTGAAGAACCTCACATTTGATTTAATGCTCTGCTGTCACCATTTTGAAACTGTTAATAAGTTTTGAACAAGAGACTCTGCATTTTCATTTTGTATAGGCTTCACAAATCATGTAGCTGGCCTTATACAATGTCTTTAGACTATTTTCTCTTGTCAAGAAAAGGAATTAATTCTTCCCCATATTCTGCATTCTATCCCTTGTTCAATGTATGTTTGGTGTAGAGGAATTACTTCTCAATCTCTCCTTTGGGGTTTATATCATGCAGAAAAAGAAGTCAAGAAAGAATATTTAAAAAAATAGGTCATTGGACAAGAGGAAGAAGTCATGGATAAGCATCATAAGGGACATTCATACTCAGAAATCAAAGAGGAAAAGGGGAAGGTTAGATGATTGACTGTGGCTATAACTTCCACATATTTGAGACTATTACCCAAAAAGAAAAGGAAGACCAAGAAATTAGCTTTATCCACATTCTGGAAGGTTAACTCTCCTTCATCAGCCTCACAAAACCCAATGATCACTGACCACATAGCAGAAATAGGGCAGAGCTGGATAAATTTATGAAGTAAGGAAGTGTATAGGTGACTTTTATTGGATCAGGTCCCACTTCCAAATTTTGCATATAGTGTATAAGTAAGGAGAGGAACACAAAGGTACCTGTCAACCCAAAAAAGGAAGAGAGATATCTTCTGATTAGCCTATCTCAATACTTATAGGCTTTACTCTAGTATTATAATCAGTGAATGAAAATTATTTCATCACTTCCCCTCATTTTTCTTTTCCCTCCTTTGAGATCATTTTTTTCTCCTAGGTTTTCCTTTTCCCTTCCACCCTCCTGATAACTTTCTAAGAGGCTAAGCAAGCTAATGTTCCACACTTACCCCAACCCTAGACACTCAGAATTTATTCCTGCCTTTCTGTACCTGTGACAATGCAGATAAAAGCACAAGGAAGATACTGTTTCTGAGTCTCAGGGAATAACTGAGGGAATGTCAGCAACAAAAAGTTCAAGCAGAATGAGAGGAGAAGGGAGTTGATCAAGAAAATTCCATCCAGTACGAAGTAGGCTAAATTAGAAAAAAATGATAAGAAAGAGAAAGATGTAAGTTCTTTCCTTTTTTAGGGCCATCTCTGCTTTCCAGAGTCCCCTAAAGGTGGCATAGTATTGGTGGATGTTAGCAGGAGGAGTGGTTGTGAGTGGGATGAGGGAGGAAGTGCTAAGGCTCAGGTTAGTAATGACATTTAGCCCTTCTTTTTTGAACCAGGACTTACTTGGCTTGTGTTGGGGCATCCAACACATCTTCTTACCACTGCAGTCTGTGAAAAGTGCACTGACAAGAACAGTGGCATCTTCAGGCCATTCTATTTCTACCCAGGAAGAAATGAGAAAGACCACCAAAGCAGGGTGGTGGCGAGGAAATTATAGGTAAGGATCAGACCCTGTTCCATTTCTTCATGCTGTACCACTTAAGATGAGGCATCACCTAGGAAGAAAGGGAAGAGGAAGAGAGGAGTTTCCTCAAACCCTCCACATTTACTTCTCATCCTTCAAAAACAATTCCTAATGATCCTTCAATTCCTAAAACTCTCTTAAATCTTTTACTCAAGCTCCAACATCCTCTCTATACTTCAATTCCTTATTCATCTAGCAAATATTAATACTTACTGCAAGTCTATAAAAGGCCATGTGTCAAGTTTTAATTTTTTGATTTTTAATTTTATCTCTAACATTCAGATGTCAGGACTTCAGTTTTATTATATTGTCTTTTAACCGATTTCCCAGATTTGTTATTATCTCCACCATTCCATACTACACATTAACAGCCCTTCCCCCACATAACTTTATCAGGTCCTTCCCCAGCTTAGAAGCCCCCTAACATCTCCCTTACTTGCTCTAAATGTAATCCTTGGGGTAACATCCAAGTCTTTCCTTATTCTAGCCTTAGTCTATTTTTCCAACTTTATGTCTGTCTATCCCCTTCCAAAAATTCAACCTCTTTGCCAAAAAAGGTTATCACACTGTTTCCCAAATCCTATATAGGCAATATTTTCTAGAATGGGCTCCATTTTAAAGTTTTCCCACTGACCATTAAGTATTATCCAAATATCCTTCATCTATTCAGTAAATAAACATGTTTTGATCACCTCCCATGTGTCTACAGTGCCTGCATTGTTTAAGTATCTGATAAATGGTTACCACATTACATATCCCGATAGGAACAACCCCTCACCACTACTCATACTCATCAACTAGGTCCTCCTTTTTCCCTCCTTTTATCAGCCAGTACAAATCTATCCTTCAAGGCCCAAGCTTGGGTTGGAAACTTACCCAACTATACTGTCCAAACTTTGTTCGCCTTATGTGGACACATATGGCAATGATTGACTGCCCAACTTCATATTCAATCATGTATTACTTGGTATTTGTCTTTTCCTCTCTGAATGTTTTGACTTCCCACATAGATGAAATGTTCTGAAGGTTTCTACTTCGTTTTAACATCTATACCACTCAGGACACTGGTTTATATTTAAAAATGAGTAAATCTTCACTGAATAATAGAAAAACAAGAACAACAACAACAAAGAAACCTCTATTGATCTTCAGCTCTCTCTATACAACTTCATTTCTGAGAGAGTCAGTTTTGAGGTGCTAGGCAACTATACCATTCTCATATCACATAGTTCCCATTACTATTTGCTTTTATTTATTTCCCATTACTTTTTTATATTCTTGTTTTACTTGTCTTCTTTTAAGCATATTGCATTTACATTTTTTTTTTTTTTTTTTTTGAGACAGAGTCTCACTTTGTTGCCCGGGCTAGAGTGCTATGGCATCAGCCTAGCTCACAGCAAGCTCAAACTCCTGGGCTCAAGTGATCCTACTGCTTCAGCCTCTTGAGTAGCTGGGACTACAGGCATGCGCGACCATGCCCAGCTAATTTTTTATGTATATATATTTAGTTGTCCAGCCAATTTCTTTCTATTTTTGTAGTAGAGACGAGGTCTCGCTTTTCCTCAGGCTGGTCTGGAACTCCTGAGCTCAAAGGATCCTCCCATCTCAGCCTCCCAGAGTGCTAGCATTACGGATGTGAGCCACCACGCCCGGCCGGAAGTAAAATATTTTTGTATAGCTGTGCATTGTGTTTGTGTTTTTAAGTGTTATTATAAAAGAATAAAAAGTTAAAAAAATCAAAAACTTTATAAAGTAAAAGTTACAGTAAACTAATGTTAATTATTGAAGAAAGAAAAAATTGTTTGTATAAATTTAGTGAAGCCTATGTATACAGTGCTAATGAAGTCCACAGTAGTGTACAGTAGTGTCCTAGGCTTTCACATACACTCACCACCCACTGACTCGCCCAGAGCACCTTCAAATCCTGTAAGCTTCACCCATGGTAAGGGCCCCATACAAGTGTACCATTTATCTTTTGTACTGTATTTTTACTATACCTTTTCTATGTTTTGATACACAAATACTTATCATTGTGTTACAATTGTCTATAATACTCAGTACAGTAACATGCTGCACAGGTCTGTAGCCTACGAGCAATAGGCCACACCATACTATCTATCCTCGGTGTGTAGTAGGCTACACCGTCTAGGTTTGTGGACATGCACTCTATTATGTTCACACAATGATGAAATTGCCTAACAACGCATTTCTCAGAATGTATTCCTGTTAAGTGATACATGACTGTATTTAAATATAAGTAAAGAAATATTTCATACTATTTTTACTTATAAGTCACAAAGTAGTGGATTATAAAGTCTTCAGTTATAAATATATATATATATATTCACCAATGCACATATAGAGAGAATAAAGATGTAAAATATATTTATTACTGTGAGCTTCAGTAAAAGAGGTTGGAAAACATTGGTATAAGTTTTGGCCACATGAGGGGATTGCAAAGAAAGTGTGGAAAACAAGATCTCTAGATGAGAGAAAATAAGAGAATTAGAAGGCAAGAGTACTGGAAAGATCATCTTCCTGGATACTAAAATCACCAAGAATCATGAAAAGAGTAGTATTAGAGAGTGAGAGTGACTATAGGCCTTGAATTTTCAAGGAATGAGAAGAATTACCCAAACGGTCTACAGATGATAACAAAAAGAAGGGAAAGGTGTGGTGAAGTCCAGGACAAAAGCTTCAAGGCTAGGAGTTTTTAGGAAAGAGGAAGGAAAGAACAGTCTGGAAGAGACAATGAGCAAGTGGAAAACCTATGTACCTCCAGGCCCAGTGGTACGAAGGGTGTGGAAGAAAAACCAACTCCCAGTAAGGAGGACTGCCAGGGAGGCAGGGTCAATAGGAGAGAACAAGACTTCAGTTAGAGCAAGAATGTGAAAAGGAAGAATCCAGGCAATTCATCCTGCCTCCTCATTGGTGCGACCACTAAGTGACATCATAAAAGCGGCAAAACCCTTCTGGCCCCCCTATTATGGTTTAATCTGTCTTGCTAGCAGAGCAAATGTGTTGTTTCTCAGCTTCCTTTGGCACCCAAGCCCAAATCATCCTTTGTTTCGTGGCTCCTTTTTCTGCTTCAGAAGTAGGAAGAAATCCTGCACTCAGGAACGAAGTCCAGAGGTGACTAAAGAGATGTTGGGGTTATTTAGTGAGTGGTAAGCAGTTGACATATTCTGGGCTTGGGTGTGGTGGGGAGGAGTTGGTGTAGTGATATTAGAGTGTGGGAAAGACTTGTGGATCCCCTGAGGTGCAGGCAGGTGGACAAAATAAGTCAAGCCCTCTGCTTCTTTCTCTCCTTGGGCAAATGAGATTCAGGGCCCCCAAAAATACAAGACCAAGAAAAAGGTGGTATCTCTTAACTATCCATCCTACCATAGTTGCAAATTTTTTTTTTTTTTTTGAGACAGAGTCTCACTCTGTCGCCCTGGGTAGAGTGCTGTGGCATCATAGTAGCTCACTGCAATCTCAAACTCCTGGGCTCAAGAGATCTTCCTGCCTCAGCCCCCAGAGTAGCTGGAACTACAGGTGCATGACAGGATGCCCGGCTAATTTTTCTATTTTTCGTAGAGATGGGTCTTGCTCTTGCTCAGACTGGTCTTGAACCCCTTAGCTCAAGCAATATTCCGGCCTTGGCCTCCTAGAGTACTAGGATGACAGGCATGGGCCACCACACATGGCCAACACAATAGCAATTTTGTACAAGTATAATATACAATGAACATTGGTTTCTTTGCCCAGGTGTCAGTGATCCTCTGCACTACATATGATAGAGCACTCCTCTTTCCACCACTCTGTCCCTTTACTCTGCTTTATTTTCCTTCATAGCTCTCATCTACCAAAGGCATTATTTTTGGTGTCTTCCCACTACCCCATAAAATCCAGGAAGGCAGGAACTCTGTCTCTGTCCCCACTGCCCAGGAACAGTGTCTGGTGTGTAGTCACTAGTCAGTAAATATTTATTGAGCAGATAAGCCCATCACAGAAAGATCCACCAATGCTCAGCAAATGCTAAGTCATAAGTAGAATATTCAAAATTTAAGTTGCCCAAAGCTAGATCTCCTTTGTCACAGAACTAGTTATAATTTTCAGGATTTTCACAGCACTTTCAGGAAGCAGCCCACTGGAATTCTGCTACTAGTCAGAATAAAAATGGAAAGCGCACCATGAACCCTTAGGTTTAACTCCAAGAGGTGGTTGACTGGCTAGGCTGTACTATGAAAAATGGGTCAGCCATAGTTCTGGATGTGGGAAGAAGGAAAGCAACTCAGTGCATGCACAGAAGAAATTACAAGGGAATACGGGGCCACTGAACAGTCAAACAGGTACACATCTGGGACTCTAGTACATCTGGTACACATCTTCATCTCCCCTGGAGCTATGTACATAGAAACCTCATTCTGGGATTGGGGCCAAATAGTCCTAAAGCAGCATGGAGGTTAATCTCTTGGGACACAAGAATTAGGAAGTGCTGACTGATCCCAGGACAATGAATCTACTGAACTTCAACTGAAGATAATCAAGATAATTGAATATTTATCTGAAAATATGTGAAGAAAAGGTTAGAGTACTCAAGGTGCTCAAATACACACTGGAGCTTTGACCCCAAACATTATGTTATTTGCACCTTAGCTCCACACTGTCTGCAGACATATATATGTCTTGAGTGAGATACTTAAAACTCAAATCATCTTTGTTTAAATAGGTCTGGAACATGATTACTCTAGAAGATATCTCTTAGTATGCTTTAATTTTCAAATTGGGAAATGTATACCCCTGGGAATACATTTTAAAGAAATGTATTTCCAGATTTTTGACTTCCACATGGACTCATTTATGACTATCAACCTGAGAACTTGCTGTAGACAAAGTGGCAGTTTTGCTTTCCCACCTTATTTGTCATATCATTTTCTAATTAATAATAAAAGGCATAATTCCCAACCATTCCATATTACATCCCTTATCTTATACATTGCCCCAAGATGCAAACTTGTCTAGAGACATCTAACAAAATGGTGTCAGTGAGAAAGCAAATGTCTAGGTAGCAAATTCCTTTTGCAAGTCAAGTGCTTTCTTATAATTATTACATTTTTCTTTCAAGAAGAGTAAAGGAGGGGCTACCCTAGCTGTCAGTGATATATATACATATTTTTTTTGTTTTTAGAGATGATGTCTCATTCTGATGCCCAGGCTGGAGTGCAGTCATGCAATCATAGCTCACTGCAGCCTAAAACTCCTGGGCTCAGGTAACCCTCCTGCTCTCAGTCACCCGAGTAGCTGGGACTACAGGTACCACCATGCCTAGGCTAATTTATTTATTTATTTTTTGTAGCAATGGGGTCTCGTTATATTGCCCAGGCTGGTCTAAAACTCCTGGCCTCCAGCAATCCTTCCACATTGGACTCCTAAATGTCAGTGGTAAATTTTTTTTTAAATCTTAAGATGGATCATTATGTAATTTTGGCATTCGATATACAAGTTAGAAAAATTAGAATTGCATTCCTATTTCAAAACTCCTTTCATTAATATCTATTTATTTATGTGAGTACAAATTCTCATATCAAAATATGAAAAATAGACACAGAATTGATATAAACCCTTTCTCATTCTAGCAATAGGGAATATTCAGCCATGGAAACATGCATTCATTAGAAAATCTTAGTCCCATCCATGTCATTAACAGATGAATTTGCAATTGAATTTTACTTTGTATAATGTATAATATATACATTAAAATATATATTTATAATTATTTGATTGCACACAAATAAAAATGGCAATAAATCTTCAAAACAAATTGTTAACTCTTAAAGATATATGGAATGCAGCTAAAATTTTTTTTTAATTATGTGCAATATTTGTACTTTTTTGTTGAAGACAAGTACAATAGAGTAGATTAAAAACAGCCATTTTTTTTTTTACCATGTGGGGTAGAGGAATGAAAATGAGTTCAAGTAAAACAGGGAATCCAAATTAAAAAAAAGGAGAGAAGGATGTAAAATTTCTAATGTTAAAGAAAACCTTGTATGCTTTTTAAAAATGGATGATAGACTAAATCATATTTAGAGGAGTGATGGAGTACATTTTAAAATGTCACAATTCACAATGTACTAGCAATCACATTCGTTACAACTATTTAAACTTATGATGTGAAATTTTTATATATCAACTTAAAAATGTTCAAGAAGGTACATAATTTTTCAAACAGGTATGCTTTCATATTTTGAACACCACTGTTCTAGAATATAAGTTCTTACATATGATGGGCTTCAGGGAGTCAGTCTTGCTACTTTTGTGACATTGGGCAAGTGATTTAAATTCAGCTCAGACCGGGCTCAAGTTGGCTCACACCTGTAATCCTAGCACTCTGGGAGGCTGAGGCAGGCAGATCGCTCAAGGTCAGGAGTTCAAAACCAGCCTGAGCAAGAGCGAGACCCCCGTCTCTACTAAAAACAGAAATAAATTAATTGGCCACCTAAAAATATATATAGAAAAAATTAGCTAGGCATGTTGGCACGTGCCTGTAGTCCCAGTTACTTGGGAGGCTGAGGCAGTAGGATCACTTGAGCCCACGAGTTAGAAGTTGCTGTAAGCTAGGCTGACACCACAGTACTCTAGCCTGAGCAACAGTATGAAACTCTATCTCAAAAAAAAAAAAAAGAAAGAAAGAAAAAGAAAAAGAAAAAGAGAAAGAAAAGAAAAGAAAGAAGAATCCAGAAAGTTTACAAAGGTTCCAGAGGCATAGAGTGGTCTATTATTTCCTGACTTTTGAATATGGAAATCCAATAGGTTGTTGCCCTCTTCTTTTCTTCCTGGAATGAGGTGAGCAAATCTCTCCCCTACTGAGGATGGAAGGGGCAATTAAGGCATAATAACAGGTACCATCTATCATCAGCACCAGCCAGGTCATTGGTATCTATGGCATAACAGGCTGGCATAAAAGAAATGCAGGGGACCAAGTCTCATTCGTCTTTACACTTGTCCACACCTAATATAGTGAAATATACATCCTAGTTCCTAGCTTATAGTAAAATGCAATAAAAATTTGTTAAACTGAACAATTGTTAAACTGAATGCTAGTCGCAGGGGTGTATTTTCCATTGGAACATTTTCCCACAAGGAATGATCACCTTTAGTCATTTCTTCATGACACTTAAAAAAAAAAAAAACTGGCTGGACAAGGTGACTCACACCTGTAATCCCAGCACTTTGGGAGGTCAAGGGAAAAGGATTGCTTGAGACCAGGAGTTGGAGACCAGCCTAGGCAACAAAGGAAGACCTCATCTCTATGAAAAATTTAAAAATTAGTCAAGTGTGGTGGTGTGTGATTGTAGTTCCAGCTATTTGGGAGGCTGAGGGTTGCCTGAGCCCAGGAATTCAAGGATACAGTGAGCTATGATTGTGCCACTGCACTCTAGCCTGGGTGAAAGGGTAAGATCTTATCTCAAAAAACAAACAAAAAACCCACCGAACTTTAACTACTTAGAAATGTATGCTACTAAGTTATTTCAATAAAAAGGAACTATCCAGTAAGCAAATTCTAAGAGGTCACTAAAAAAATATTCTTTCAAAAGCCAGGCTTGGTGGCTCACGCCTGTAATCCTAGCACTCTGGGAGGCCGAGTCAGGAGAATTACTTGAGCTCAGGAATTTGAGACCTGAGCAAGAGTGAGACCCTGTCTCTACTAAAAATAGAAAAAATTAGCCAGGTGACATGGCACGCCTGTAGTCCCAGCTACTTGGGAGGCTGAGGCAGGAGGACTGCTTGAGCCCAGGAGTTTGAGGTTGCTGTGGGCTAGGCTGATACCACAGCATTCTACTCATAGTGACAGAGTGAGACTGTGTCTCAAAAAAAAAAAAACCTGTTTTAAGTGTTTTAAAGGATGTTTCTTTTAAAAGCCTATTTTTACTGGCCAATGTCAATTTTGTTCTCCTTGTGAACTCTACCCCTTACTGACTATATTCTGATCACCCCTGGTGTATTTGTTACAGTCCCAACACACCAATTTCTAGTCAACAGTATAGAGCTCTTCAGTGCTTCCAAAACAAAGTACGTTTCCTTCCTAGAATGCTCTTTCCCTAGAATCTTCATGACTTATCCTTCATTCCTTAAAGTTTTTGCTT